GTGCAATGACTTATTTATTTATGTCTGTTTTTATACTTTCTGGAGCCCAGGTATTCTAGACCCTTCCCTCCTGAGGCCAGGACTTCTTTTGTTTTCCTTTCTAAAATCCATCTCCACATCCTGGCAAGCAGTAAGATTTGGAAGAGATGAATCCATGGAATTCTGGCTCAGCGCAGAAATGTAGAGATGGCTGTACATTTCACTGGTGCAGTGCCTAAGGCACTTTACTGCTAACCAGAAGGTGGGCAGTTCAAACCCACCAGCCGCTCTAAAGAAGGAAGATGGGGCTGTCTACTACTGTAAAGATTCAACGCCTCAGAAACCCAGTGGGAGTCGCTATGAGTCAGATTCTTCTCTATGACAGTGGGTTTGGTTTGGAGTTTTTGGGGACAGCACCACACAGAGGTTAGGGATACGGGAGCCCCCTACTGTCCGGGGACAGCCAGCTAAGAATGGTGTGCTGGGCAAACCCAGACTGTCCCAGCTGTGATGGGGAAGGAACTTGCCCACCAACTGCAGGCAGGCAGATGTTGGTTCCGGGGCTCTGGTTCGCGGGCTGCACAGCTTTGAGGAAGCTACAGATGGAGATTCTGGAAGAACTCTGCCTTTAGCAGTGCCCTGGGTGGTGGTGATTTCCAGATTTTTCTAGGAGCTCTGGTAGCATAGTGCCTAAGGCACTTGACTGCTAACCAGAAGGCCAGAGGTTCAAACCCACCAGCCACTCCTCGGAAGGAAGGCTGGGCAATCTACTTCCGTAGTGATACCGCCTCAGAAACCCAAGGAGAGGACGCCATGAGCCGGGTGTGACTTGACGGCACATAACAACAACAGCAACATTCACCTCTAGCCTTGTTGCAAAGGAGCTCGAGTGGTGTATTGAGTAAGGCATTTGGCTGCTAATCAGAAGGTCAGTGGTTCAAATCCAGCAGCTGTGCCACAGGAGGAAGATGGGGCAATCTACTTCCGCAAAGATTTACGGCCTTGGAAACCCAATGGGGTCACTGAGTGGGAATTGACTGGATGGCAGTGGGTTTGGTTTTTGGCTTTTCAGCCTTGTTGAAACAGGAACTTGGGGCTGAGCTATCGTGACCCTCCCCCCCCAGCTCCGTAACAGCCATATTGTCTGGTAATCATTTATTCTCGTGAGCAGCAGGAAGGTGGCATGGACCTCAGAGGAGGCCACAAGGTGGGTGGGGGCACCCACTGACCTCACCTTGGAGATGGCGCCCTGCTGCCTAAGTTTCCTCCTCTCTTAAACCGAGACAGCAGGTTGCTGCGTAGATTCAAGCTGCCTCACTTAGGTTTTAGCTCAGTGAAAGGCCTGGCCCGTAGTAGGTTCTGGGAGCCGAGCGGAGACCCAGCGCAGTTCGGTGACTCGCCCAAGGTCACACAGCCGGGGTGGGCCCCGGCCCCGGACGGCCTGACTTCTGCCGCGCGGCTTCGTCAGGAGCCAGCTGCGGGGAGCGCTGTTTGAGGAGCGGCCGCGGCCGTGGGCGGAGCGCCTGCTATTTTGAAGCGGTGAGAGGAGCGCGCGGCGCGGAGAGAGAGGGGAGACGGCTCTCGGGCCTGCCGCCCGGGTCACCTTCCCGCGGCCCTTCCCTGGAGGGGCGTCCCGGGGCGGGGAAGCAGGTAGGAGGGGCGGGCAGCCGGTTACCTCATCGCCGCCTCCCAGAGGCGCTGCTGGCTCGCGCCGCCAGCTGCGGCGGCGACTCGGGGCGCCGGAGCGAGAGGAGGGCAGAGGGACGCGGGCGCCGAGAAGCCGCGCAGCCCCGCTCGGCTCCGCTGCGGGACCCGCGCCGCGAGGAGGTCGGAGCCCGGCGCCCCACGCTGCTGGCGCGCCTCCTTCGCGCCTCCTTCGCGCCTCGGGGCGGAGGCGGTGTCTGCGCGCGGGGCGGGGCTGCGCCCTCCAGGGCTTCGGCAGTCGCCCGAGCCGCTTGTGCGTCCGCCGTCGGCCCGCGCCGCTGTCTGTCTGCTCTCCTGCCGCCGGCGCCGTCCTCGAGCCCGGCCACTCTAAGCTCCGGGTGATCCCGCGGACAACGAGGCGCGCAGCCGGGACGCAGGAGCAGAGCGCGCGGGGCTCACGGCAGGGGGCGCAGGGGGCGGCGCCGGCCCATGAGGCCCCGGGACGCCGAGCGCAGCAGCGCGGGCCCGCCATGGGGGGCAGCCTGCGCGTGGCCGTGCTGGGCGCCCCGGGCGTAGGCAAGACGGCCATCATCCGCCAGTTCCTGTTTGGAGACTACCCTGAGCGCCACCGGCCCACAGACGGGCCGCACCTCTACCGACCCGCAGTGCTGCTCGACGGCGCCGTCTACGACCTGAGCATCCGCGACGGCGACGGCGCTGGCCCGGTTCCGAGCCCCAACAGCCAGGAGGTAGCGGCTGGAGGGGAGGGCTGGGCGTGTGACAGCATGTGGGGGGGTGTGCTCGGTGCAGGCGTGCATGTCCACGTGGACGGCCCTGGGCATCTGGCCTCGGTCAGGGATTGAAGGATGGTATATGTGCGGGGATTCCCTTCTCGTGGAATGTGATTGTCACCCCGCCTCGCCGGCCAAGCCCCACCATCTTGCAAAGCGGCGTCTTCTCCTGGGTGTATCTTTGACTGGCAGAGCTGGGCGGCGCCTTCAGAAGGTTGTGTTAGCAGCACTGAGCCGAGCTGCAGTGGGGTGAACTGGGGCCTGGCCTAGGGGTGTGCTTTCTAGGGGGTCATTCTCAGCCTGCTCCTTTGTTCCTATGACCTGGAGCAAAGGCTTACTTAGTAATTTGTGCAAAGTCCAGAATAGACTGAATCCTTGGAGCTGGGTGACTCCCAGAGGTGAGGCAGAAAAAGCAGGCAGGATTAGGCAGGACTTCTTGGAGGAGGTAGCATTTGGACCCAGCTGAAGGATGAATAGGAGCTGTGGTAGCATAGTGGCTAAGGCCCTTGACTGCTAACCAGAAGGCTGGCGGTTCAAACCCACCAGCCACTCCTCGGAAGGAAGACGGGGCAATCTACTTCTGTAGTGATACTGCCTCGGCAACCCAAGGAGGGGTCCCTATGAGTCAGGGCCGACTCGAGGGCACATAACAACAACGAAGGATGAATAAAATTTTGATGAAAAGAAGTGGGGAGAGACTTCCTGGTGGAAGGACTGTCCCGTGCTTAGGTGGGAAGGCCTTAAATGCATAAGGCTGCTACCATCTGTGAGGTGGAAGGCCAACAGGCCAGCTGAGGGCTTTGGAATTGACTTTTTGAGGTAGTGGGAGCCAGTGGTGGGTGGCATCTAAGGTGGGGAGTGGTCTGACCCAGTTGAGTTTGGGAAAAGCTGGAAGGGGTGTGTGGGAAGAATGAGGATGAATGGCCGGCAGAGCTGGGAGGTGGAGAGGACATAGAGGGGAAGAGGACTGCTGCCTGGTTCCAGGCGCGGTTTGGAAATGTTTACTGTGAGGACAGTAAGCCCAAGAGCTTGGGAGAGGGGGAGGGGTGGGGGGAGAGCACACAGATGGGGATGTGGGGATGGGGGCGGCAGAGCCCTGAGATGAGCTGTGGGCTTAGCGTGGAGGCCTGTGTAAACCCTGGTGCCCAACCCCAGGAGTGGCCAGATCCTAAGGGCTGGAGCTTGCAGGACACGGATGCCTTCGTGTTGGTCTATGACATCTGCAGCCCCGATAGCTTCGACTATGTGAAGGCCCTGCGGCAGCGCATTGCCGAGACCAGGTAGGGTGTGGCCAGAGGGTGGGGACAAAGGGGCTTTTGCTGGTCCGGCCTTTTCCCTTGGTGGGTAGAAGGATCTCCCGCTGTGTGGGCCGGGGTCTCGGGTGGTCCAGGCAAGACCTTCGTCTGCCCGTGATCTCTGGTCCTGTGGGTCTTTGGCCCCCCACAGGCCTGGTGTTTGCTGGGGGGCGGGAGGGGGGAGGTGTCTCAGGCTGCAGGAGAAGATGTTCGGTTGGGGCATTCTCCAGCCGTGGAATCCCTGGCACTGAGTCTGACTCCCCATCTGGCCCCTAGGCCGGCGGGCGCGCCCGAGGCTCCCATCCTTGTGGTAGGCAACAAGAGAGACCGACAACGGCTGCGCTTCGGGCCGCGGCGCGCGCTGGCCGCCCTGGTGCGCAGGGGCTGGCGCTGCGGCTATCTCGAGTGCTCGGCCAAGTACAACTGGCACGTGCTGCGCCTCTTCCGTGAGCTGCTGCGTTGCGCTCTGGTGCGGGCCCGCCCTGCGCACCCGGCCCTGCGCCTGCAGGGGGCGCTGCACCCGGCGCGCTGCACCCTCATGTAAGCGGCTGGGATGAGGGTGCGTCCTGGCACATGGAGGCCCAGATTGGACGAGACGGCCCAGCTTCTCTCCGATTGGACAGGACCAGTCTCCGCCCTGCTTGGAGGAGGAAAGTTCCCACCCGTTTCCTGGGCTTTGGATCTCACTGGACTCAGCTTTGCCTCAGACTCCCTGGATTTTTCTGGGACCTCACTGGGTGGGACAGTCCAGATCCCACGAGATGGGAAGGACCTGGCTATGAATCAAACTGGAAGCTCCCAGACTGCCCCTGGAGCGTTAGTGGGGAAGTGTTTCTGTCACACATGGCAATAAAGGGACAGGCGATTCAGCACCTGGCATTTCTGGGCCAGACAGACTGGGAAGAGGAGGGGCCGAGACTGGAGAGCAGAACTGCAAGTCCAGAACCCCCACATGTAATGAGGGGCCCCACAAAGCCAAGCCCCTAAGAAGGAGACAAAAGTGGGTGCAGCAAATCTTTACTGTCAGAGGCTCTGCCGGGCCACAGCCCCTCAGGGCACTAAGCCAGCCCAGCCTCTTCTAAGGCATTCAGTAATATTAGTAATTAAATAGCAACGCTCACCCCCCAACCCGGAATGTACAACACCTGTCCATTGTGCCATGTGGTCCCAAGAGGGCTGGTCCCATGAGGTCTGGAGACCAGGAGGCAGAGGAAGCTCCCTGATGCAGAGGGGTTAAGGCCACAAAGGAAAGGGAGAAGGAACTGGACTTGGGGGCAGCAGGGCTGGTCCATCACATCCAGGAATCTGGCTCAGCCCTTGAGCTGAGTGAGTGCAGGGCCCGCCAGGCCCGGAGATCTGGGGGTCCAGAGGGGCGGCGGGGACCCTGTGGTGTGGGGATGCGGGAGGGCTTCTGGTCCGGCTGCGTGTCCATCCGGCCCCGGGGCCAGGTCCTCAAGGGCTCCAGGCCCGTCTGAGGGGTCCCAGGGACATCAGGTGGCCCCACGACACCAGGGCAGGGGCCGCCCTCGTCAGAAGAGCTGGATAGGGCTGGGCCACGGGACCCAGGCAGCCCATTGGCTGTCCGGGCAGGGTCCCCAGGAGGGCCACACTTGCCACCCAGGACGCTGAGGGAGGAGGAAGAGGAGCTGGAGGAACAGTAGGCTGAATCGGGGGCTGGGGGGTCCACGGGTCGGGCTGGGTCAGGGGCAGGGCTGGTGGGGTTCCCGCCAGCAGCAGCCTCAAGGGCACGGGCATTGGCCAGGAACTCCTCCTCCAGGCGGCGGAACAGCCGCTGCTCTTGCTGCGGGTCCAGCTGCAGGGGCGTGCGGAAGACACTGGCCGGAGTGCTGCCCAGCTCCGGGCCAGGGCTGGGAACCCGGGCAGGCCGGCGAGTCGCAGGGCTGTGGGCCCGGGGGGCGTGAGGGCTGCTCCTGCCCGAGTCCCTGCCACCCCTGCCCCGTGGCACCCACGAGTGCTGCCCATCTCGGTCCCTGCGTACAAGCAACACAGCCTGCTCCTCTCGGCTCTGGCTCCGTGCCCGGCGGGTAGGGCTGGGGGCCGTCAGCTGGGCCCCCCTGCCTCCCGGAGGGCCCCTCGGCCGACCCTGATCCAGCCGGTCTCGGGACTGGCTTCGTGGGGCAGGGGGCCTCCTTGGGGAGGGCAGGGGGCCTGTGGTCAGCCGCCGGCTGGGCCGTTCCCTCCGAGTACCGGTGCCTGTGTCATCACTGCGGGCACCAAGGGAGCCACTCTGGGCTGAGGAGGCTGACGAGTCACTGTCCCCCGAGTAGCGGCGGGAGCGGGGGTACGGGGGAAGCTGATCCCGGGGCCTGGGAAGGGGAACAAGAGGGAGACAGCATCAGAGAGGACTGGCATGCAGATGTGTGGCTGACGGACGGGAGACCTGTGGCCAGGGGTGTTGGTAAGGGACTGTCAAGGCCATCAGTCTGCCCTGGGGACTTCCAGGGAGAAGTGAGACACCCTGCAGCAGCTTCCTGTAGCCGCTTGGGGCCCCAAAGCCAGTGGAGGAAGCAGGGCCTGCCCCTGGGCTCCCGGCCTTAAGCCTCCAGTCTCCCTGGGGCGGGCCAGGAGGAAGCCGGGTTGGACTGGCTGCCGGCCCGCCAGGGCCTGCCCCAGCTGTGTTGTTCGTTTGGTTGGGTTGTCATGGAGATGGGAAGCCAGGCCCCCGCCCCCACCCACAGGAACTTTTCCCAGAGTGTGAGTCACTCTGGAGCAAAAGACTCCTAGTCATCATCCAGGCACACAGCCCCCGCCCCCACCCTCCAAACCCCTCAGGCCCGTGTCCCCCTCTGCTCACCTGAGCGGGGTCTCGGCCCCCTCCTTGGAGCTGCGGAGGCTAGTGGGGGTCACCTCGGGCCTGGAGCACCGGCGTTCACCCCCAGCTGGCCGCTCAGCCCCAGGTGCTGGGCTGCCAGCTCGGGGGCTGGGCGTGGGCGACACCCTCTGCGGAGAGAAGGTTCGAGCCCTGGGCTGGGGTGGGCGGTGGGCTGCAGGGAGAGAGGATGGGCAACCGTCGTGAGAGGCCGATCGGTGCAGAGCCAGCCCCCGCCCGCTGGCCCGAGCACTGACCTGAGGAGGAACAGCGGCAGGGATCATGCTTGTCCAGGTAGTGCTCCAGCGTGTCCCAGCCGCCACCCACACGCACCATCACGTGGCTCCTGAGCACCTGCAGAACCCAGCGTGGGCAAGTCATGGCTGTGTCCCCGGGGCCTGGTAGCCCAGGGCCCCCAGCTGCCACCTGCCGGAGCAGCACCCAGACTCTTACCCTCACAAAGATGAGCAGGCTGGAATCTCCCACACGGTACTTCCCCTCGGAAACCTTGATCATGGGGAACTGGTCTGGGCAGGTACATTGGCCCAAGATCTCTCTCACCTGAGGCCAGAGAGCAGAGGCTGGAGCTCAGAGGTCAGAGGTCAAGGCCCTCCCCCTGGGACTTGACATCAGCTGCTCCAGGGTCAGGGTCAGGAGGAAGTTGAGTTCTCGAGGAGAGGGGAGCTTGGAGATTGGGTTGCCCCACACTTGACTACAACCTCTACAGTGGACCTCTTACCGGCAACCATTCTGGGGTCAGGGAGCTGCCCAGGAGAGGAGGAGCTGTGGTCAGGCCAGGCCTAGGCAGGGCCCCGGGGACTGAGCCTGGGGGGGCCCTGGAGCCCACCCTCACTCCCCTTTCATCCACTTCCCAGACTAGGAGGTTGAGCACATGTGGAAGCCAGGTGAGGAGTGCAGGGGGCCCCACGCCCCTGGCAGGGCATCGAGGTGGGGTGCCAGCGACACGTGGGCACACGCACAGCCCAACGTGCACACACAGGCCCCGGTGAACACAGTGCTCCCTCCCCCTGGGCCTGAGGTTGCCAGGCTGGCTGCGTGGGCAGCCCCGCCCGCCTCCTCACCCACAGCGGCGGCACGGCACCACGGGAGGAAATGAGCAGGTGGGGACTCAGCTGACCTGGCCCAGGCCGGGGTGGGATGCAGCCTCGCCTACTGTCATCCGGCTGCCCTCCGGAACCCGCCTGGCACAGCCCTGACCTCCTGATAAGAAGGAAACTGTTGGCCCGGCCGGGGGCTGGAGGGACACTTTGCTCCTGGGAGAATGAGCAGGGAGCTAGGGACGAGGGCCTCCTCCGCTCAGAGTACAGCTAAGCCTGCAGTTCCAGGAAGGACCGTCCCTCCCACCAGCAGCAGCAAGTCAGGGCTGGCTTCCCAGATGTGCACAGGGCCCCAGGGAGTGGGGGCCCACCAGGTGCTGAGTGCCTACTGTGTGCCAGGCATCTCGCCCAGGCTTCCAAGCCTTGTGTCAGCCAAGTGGCAGGCACCCACTCCATCTCCTGGGCTCTGTGAGGGTTTGGGTGCGTCTGTCTAGCACCCGAGTGCAGGGCAGGTATCCAGAAGGTGCTCAAACCATGCAGCCTCCCTAGCTGAACTAATCTCACAGTACGTACGTAGGGAAGGGGAGGTCATGTGAGGGTACTGGCCCAGCTGGGCTGCGTGATTTCACCCGGCACCTCTGCCCCTCTGGGCCTAGCCACCTGTGTGAGCCAACTATACACACACTTGCTGCTCCCCTGTGCTGCCCTTCCCAACGGGGCAGACTATCCTGCAGATAGCAGGGTGACCCCAAAAGGTTCAGGGGCCAGTTGCAGACACCAGCTCTGTTCTCGGGAGCCCATAGTCAGTTTTTAGTAAGTGAGCATTGGCAGGTGTTACCCGGGACGCATGCACCCGTTGTGGGGGAGGGGGCCTCACCAGCTCATCGAGGTTCTGCAGGTCACTGGGGGTCATACGGGGCCCCCGGGTGGGAGCTCCTGGTGCAGCAGCAGTCCCGGCAGGGTCCTCCTCGGCGGCAGGGGCATTGGGGGCTGGGGGTACAGCGTGCAGCTCGCGCTCAATCTCCTGCTCAAACTGCACGAGGCGGGGGGCGAGCAGGCCCAGGCGGGCCCCCCGCCGCGCCACCTCCAGCAGGCACAGCACCACGCTCTTCTCGTTCTTACGCAGCACCAAGTCCTCGGTCTCGAACATGAGAACTTCAGGCACGCCCAGCTCCACGCGGCACCAGCCGATGAAGGTGGCCACGTTGTCGCGGGCCATGAAGGAGCCGGGTGCCACGCTGTGCACCTGGAAGGTCACACTGTGGGCCGGCCGGGCAGCTGCCAAGGCACGGGCAGCCTCGGTGACAGCATTGGCATGTTGGCACAGGACAGTGCCCGTGGCCAGCCCGGCCAGGAAGCCATCACCACCGCTGGGCAGCCCCAGGCCGTACAAGGCATTGAGCCATTCAGCCAGGTCCTCCTTCATGGCCTCCACGTAGGCTTCACTGGAGCGGAATGGCCGCACGCTCTTGGCGGCCGAGCCGGCGATGGTTGCCACTGGGTCCGCCATGCCCAGGCCAGCCGAGTCACTGTGGGCAGGGGCACAGGTCAGGACTGCTGAGAGAACCCAGTGACACCCACTGCGGGTTAGCATGGATTCCCACACCACCAACTCAGGCGCAGGTGGTGGTGTCCACATTTCACAAACGAGGAAACTGAGGGTCAAAGAGAAGAGGCCGCTGACCACCTGTGCAGAGTCAGCCCAAGCCTGGGTTTCATACTCTGTGCCTCCGGTTTCTCATCTGTAAAATGGGGGCAGTAATACTACCTGCCTTATAGGACTCAAAGGGATAATTTTTTATAAACCACTTAGTCCTACAAGGACCACAGAACAAGCACTCCGTAAGTGTAAGTGTGGGCTGTTTGGCTCTTTTTTGGAGCCCTGAGGGGTTGGCTGAGCCCTCCTGCCCACATCTTTACCCCCATTTTACAGATGAGAAACAGCCCTGAGAGAATCAAAGCCCTTGGCCTGAACCTCCCTGAGCCCTTCCACCTCCCTGCCTGGACCCACAGCAGACAAGAGAGGAACCCAGGCCACGACCCCAGGGAGGGCTTATCTCCATTGCTCATGGGTGGGAGGCTAGGGCCATCCCAGTTCATCTCTCAGTCGCTCTCCCCCAAGGAGTGAGCTATTATAACAACGACGACATAACAGCTGTAATAACAGTAAAGCCACCAAGGAGGCAAGGGCTCAGGGCGCGGTGCTCACACACGGGGCTCCCCAGAGTCTCCCTGCACCATCGACCCGGACGCAGGTGATATTATCCACATTTTACAAATGAGGAAACTGTGAGGGTCAGTGAGAAGAGAAGGCTCAAGGTCGCAGAGCAATCGGCGGCGGAGCCGGGGCACCCAGACGCGCCGCGTTGCTGATCTCGGGGCGCGATCCCGCAGCCCGTTCATCCGGGACCAGGCCCCGCCTCCTCCTAGGAGCCTTCACAGCGCCCTAGACCCGCGCATGCAGGGCCGGGACTCCGAATGGCCTCCGCCCGGGCCCTCCTGTTCTCGGACCCTCGGCCCAGAGAGGGTGCGGGGCCGCCCAAGGTCACACAGCCCCGGGGAACCAAGGCCGCTGCCCCAGTGCCCTAGCGAGCGCGCCGGCTAGGGGGAGCTGGGGGGTCTCCGCGCTCACCTGGCTCATCCCGCGGCCCCCGGGAGCATCGCCCCGGCAGGGGCCGGAGCCGGGCCGGGGCCGCCGTAGGGAGGCGCCGCCCGAGCCACAGCGGATCCCGGTCGGGCCGCCGCCGCCGCCGCCGCCGCCGCCGCCGCAGCCTCGGAGCCCGCTGTCTCCGCCCCGCCTCCCTGGAATTCGGATCCTGCCCAGAGGGGGCGGGCGGGGCCGCGCGTTCTTAAAGGGGCCGCGTCGTTCCCAGGCGGGCTGGGCGCGATGGGGGAGGAGCTGGAGTCTCCCGACGGGCGACCGGCCGGGAACCGGGGTCTCCGCGTGCAGTCTGAGCGCAGGGGGTCCAGCAGCCCTGATCCCTGGGCAGAAGCAGGCCCAAGGCCCACAGGAGATCCCTCCCCGAGTCTTGCACCCTCGACCAGCCCAGGCACTCTGCCCGGAGCCCGGGCCCATCCGCAGGGCCCTTCCACCCTCCTTGGTGCACCGGCGGACGACAAGTGGCCCTTTTCATTACCCCCCCACACACCCCCAGCAGTAGCCTCCCAGGCTGGCAACACAGCCTGTTCCCAAGAGGAACTCAGGAAGCGATAGGGGCCGGGGGCTGCAAAGTCACCTCCGGCCGGGGTGGACCTCGCCAGGCCAGATAATCGAGGCTCTCCCAGCCCAGGGCTGCGAGCTTCCTGCTCGCAAGGCCCGCCTGCAGGGAGGGGAGGACGCCTGATACTGACGCCCGCTCAGTGTCTGGCTCTCGCTTCTCATGCAAGGCTCCCTTTTAACCCTGAGGGCGGGGAACCCTTTTTGCAAAGACGGACGCTGAGGGGCAGGCGGTAGCGAGGCCCGTGTGGGACGCAGAGGCTGCAGGCGGGCTGGGCAGAGAGGCCAGTCCTGCGGCCCCCTCCGGCTGCCCTGGGATTGGCACAGGGGCACAAGAGTTGGCTGCCTGGGTCTGCCCGGCGCGGGAGGGTTAAGCTCCGCCGGTTTCTTTTCGAATTACAGAGGAGGGACCTGGCCGGATCAGCGGGAAATCCTGCCCCCTGCTGCTGCTGGCTGGGCCGGGGATGGCTGGCCGGGCTGGGTGAAAGCCACTGCCGGGGTGGGGTCAGTCCGGGGAAGCTCTGCCAACAATAGCCAGCACTCACAGCTTAAAGCTCCTAGTGTGTGCCAGGCCTACCTCTAGGAGCCTTTCACCAGAAGGAACTTCCCGAGCCAACTCTGAGGAACACAGTTGTCATGCCTAGTCACCCGGGTCAGGAGGGCAGGTTGGTGGAGCCAAGATCCTGGGCAGGCTGGCACCAGAGCCGGGACCTCTGACTCTTACCAAGATACCCTCACTCAAGAATTTCAAACAGTAGGCAGGCAGAACATTTACATCAGGTAGATACACTCCTTGGAGCAACCCATCCTGGGAGAACAGAAGGGCAGTGTTTGCACAGGGAGACAGCACAGGGGACGGGCTTACATGGGAGGGAAGGACACAGGAAAGAGGTGACTACAGAGAGGAAGTGGGAGGAGAGCTGTTACACTGTGGGGAATTGCAGTCAATGTCATGAAACAAAATGTATATAAATTGCTGTATGGAAAATGAATTTGCTTTGTAAACTTTAACCCAAATCACAATAAAAATGTAAAAAGGAGAAAAAAAAAAAAGAACGAAGGGCATTTAAGCACTAAGCACCTACTGTGCGCCAAATCCCACGGTGCACACACATCATTTCACAGCATCTTCCGGGCCTTTCAGAAGGTGACACCGTTCTCAACACAACGCCCTGGAAATGAGGGTAGGGGGTGGAGGTGGGTGCAGTCCTGGAACCACCCTGTCCCTGAGGGTTGCCTCAGGGCTGCAGAGGGAAGAAGGCGGTCACTAGTAATAGTGACACCTACTGAGCATTTTCTCAGTGCTGGAAGCCACAGCGAAGGAGCAGTCACCCACACAGATCCCGCTCTCAGGCCTGAGACAGGGCTGAGGTACTGGGGAACAGAGAGGTGAAGGGGAGAGAACAGGGGTGTGAGGGTGGGAGGGGGCTGCAATTTTAAATCAGTGACAGGGAAGGAGGTGAGGAAGGGAGGCTGTGGGAGTCCAAGAGAAGTGTTCAGGCGGAGGCAACAGCCAGTACAAGCCCCTGAGTGGGAGAGTGCCTGGCATGTTTTAGAATGAGGAGGCTGGTGGGACTGGAGTGGAGTGCGGGTGGAAGGGAGGATGAAGGGCGGAGAGACGAGACTGGGGCGAGGGGCAGATTTTCAGGGCCCTGTGGGCCATGCCTCCTCTGTGGGACATGGAAGCCTTAGAGGGATGGAGGGGCATGACCTGACTTAAGTCCTAACTGATCCACCGTGGGGGCTGTTGAGTGTGGCCAGGTCCCGGGAGGAAACCAGGTGATGTCAGAGAGGTGGAGAGAGACCTTTTTTTTTCCCCCCTATTTATTTGGGTGAAAATTTACAGGACAAATTCATTTTCCATATGGCAGTTCATACACATGTTTTTTCATGACATTGACTGCAATTACCTACAGTGTAACAGCTCTCCTCCCACTTCCTCCCTGTAGTCACCTCTTCCCCGGGCCCTTCTTTCCTATGCATTCCTGCCTGCTGAGCTGTCTCCCTGTGCAAACACTGCCCTTCTCTTCTTTTGTGACTGACTGAGTGACTGACTGATCGTTCTAAGGAGTGTACCCACCCGCCTGGTGTAAATGATCACCCCATATGGAGAGGCTGTATTTTGAGGCCACTGCCGAGGAGGGAAGGACAGCTGGGCATGCGGGATACAGGCGTGGGGGGCCCAGATCTGGTGGGGAGGGGTGGGCACTAAAGCAATTTAATCCTCAAAGTAACCTGATGCACTATAATGTTGTTAAAACCAAAACCAAGTTCACTGCCATCAAGTCAATTCCGACTCATAGCAACCCCCACTGGGTTTCCAAGACTGTAAATCTTTACAGAAGTAGATTGCCCTATCTTCCTTCTGAGGAGTGGCTGGTGGGTTTGAACTGCCAACCTTCTGGTTAGCGGTCAAATGCCTTAGGCACCATGCCACCAGAGCTCCTTATAATGTTGTTATATATCCTCATTTTACAATTTGGAGAAACTGAGGCCTGGAAAGGAGAGGGATGTGTGCTATCAGCAGTGGCAATGAGAGTCGACCCCAGCTCTTACCTACCTCACTCCCCTTCAGGGCTGTGGACCAAGAAAGGTAGGCCTGAAGCCGGATCCTGCTGTGGGTCACTGGGTGAGACACGTAAGCTCTCTGGGCCTCAGTAGCACCATCTGTAAAAACAGGACAATAGATGGAGTCACATGGTGATTGTAAGAAGTGCTACCATTTCTCGGTTCAATGCTGGCTGGGGCTGGGGCCTATGACGTCTCCTCCTCTGAGGAGAAGGTGACAGTGGCAGGAGGCGGGACAAAGACGACTTCTCCCTCTCTCCAGCCCCAGGCTTGTGATCACAGAGGCCCACTCTGGACCACCCTCCAACGTTCTGATTCTAGGGCTTGGCAGCTGCGGCACCAACTTCACTGGTGTGTCTAGACCCCCGGCCCAGGCCATGGAGGGTCTCTCTTTGATTCCCTCTGTTGTGTGTCAGGCCAGGGTCCACAGGGCCACCCATGGGAGCCTCAGCCTCTGTGTGGCCTCCCTGTTCCTCACAGGACTGAGAGAAGCCATGGGAACAGCTGAAGCAACAGGAAGTGTGGGCTGTGGATGTCCCGAGTCCCCATGGGTCCCAGGGGCAGCCTCTGTGTAAAGAATTTGGTGATCCCAGGCGGGCTGGAAGGAGCTCTGGGGGCATAGTGCCTAAGGCATTTGACTGTTAACCAGAAGGCTGGCAGTTCAAACCCAGCAGCCACTCCTCGGAAGGAAGATTGGGGAATTTCTAGAGACACTGCCTCAGAAA